CAAGTGCAGGACCTTGCATTTGGCCTTGTTGAACCTCATGAGGTTCACATGGGCCTACTCCTCCAGCCTATCCAGGTGCCTCTGGATGGCATCCCTTCCCTCAAGTGAATCAATGGCACCACTCAACTTGGTGTCATCTGCAAACTTGCTGAGGGTACACTTAATTCCACTGTCTATGTCATTAATGAAGATATTAAATAATATTGGTCCCAGTACACACCCTTGAGGAACATCACTTGTTACTAATTGCCACTTGGTCATTGAGCTGTTGACTGTAACTCTTTGGACGCAGCCATCCAGCCAATTCCTTATCCGTCTAACAGTCCATCCATCAAATCCATCTCTCTCCGGTTTAGAGAGGATGATGTTGTGGGGGACCATATCAAAGGCCTTACAGAAGCCCAGGTAGATGACATCACTCGCTCTTCCCTTGTCCACTGATACAGTCACTCCATTGTAGAAGGCCACCAGATTAGTCAGGCATGATTTTCCCTTGGTGAAGCCATGTCAGCTGTATCTAATCACCTTCCTGTGTTCTATATGCTTCAATATAAGTTCCCAGAGGATCTGTTTCATGATCTTACTGGGCACTGAGGTGAGGCTGAAAGGTCAGTAGTTCCCAGGGTCCTCTTTATTACTCTTTTTAAAAATGGGTGTGGTGTTTCCCTTTTCTCCAGTCACTGGGGACCTCATCTGACTGCCATGACTTTTCAAAAATGGAGAGTGGCTTAGCAACTACATCTGCCAATTCCCTGGGATTCATCTCTTCAGGTCCCATGGACTTGTGTATGTCCAGGTTCCCCAGGTGGTTTTGAACCTGATCTTCTCTTACAATGGGAGGGACTTCATTCCTCAATCCCTGCCTTGAGGTTCAGGGACTTAAGATGTGAGAAGAGTAACTGCCAGTGAAAACCTAGCAAAAAAGTTGAGTACCTCAGCCTTGTCGGTTGTCACTAGTTCTCCTGTCTTATTTATCGTGTGTGTGTATATACACACATTTTCTTTAATTTTCTTTTTCTGTCCAATGTACTTGTAGAAGCCCTTCTTATTATTCTTCCTCACATTCCTTGCCAAATTCCCCTCCAACTGTGCCTTAGCTTTCCTGATCCTGACCCTACACATCCAGGCAGCATCCCTGTATTCTTACCAGGTTACATATCCCTGGTTCCACTGCCTGTGCATTTCCTTCTTATACTTTAGTTCAACTGGGGGGTCCTTACTCAGCCATGCTTGTCTCCTGCCTTCCTCACCTGATTTCTTACACATGGGAATCAAAAGCTCTGGTGCTTTAAGAAAGATGTCCTTAAATAGCTGCCAGGTACTGTTTTGCTCCTTTATCCCTGAGGGCAGTTTCCCAGGGAGTCCCATCCACAAATTCCTTAAACAACTGAAAGCTTGCTCTCCCAAAATTCAGCGTCCTGACTCTACTCTGTTTTTCAAAGACAGCTCTGTACTATCAATCTTTTTCATTTTTAAAAACACAGAGAGAAACCCCGCTGCCTCTCCTTCCTTGCCTGTCTCTTCTGAACAGTTTATAGCCATCGATTGCATTGTTCCAATCATGTGATTTGTCCCACGAAGTTTCAGTGATAGCAATTAGATTGTAGCTTTGTAGCTGCACAGTGACTTCCGACTCCTGTTTGTTACCCATGCTATGTGCCTTATTATAGAGGCACTTCACTTGGGCTGTCAACTATGTCACCTTTTTGGAGGAACAAGCCCCAGTTTTTGAGGCATTTCATAGGTGTTTCCCTATTGGTTCCTAATACATCAGCTGCCTCTGGCTCTTCTCTGTTGCTCAAAACTCCATCCCCTTTTCCCACTAAGTCTAGTTTAAAGCTCTCCTTATAGGTTCGGCCAGCTTATTGGTGAAGACACTCTTGTCCCACTTGGTCGGGTGAATCCCAACAGATGTGGCTTCTCAAAGACACATCCATGATCACAGAAGCCAAAACCTTGAGTATAGCACCAGCTACACAGCCAGGCATTCACTTGTTTGTGTCCTCCATCCTGGACCCCTTCCTCTGACTGGGAGGATACAGGAGAATACCACCTGTGCTCCCAATCCTTTTAACATTGATTTGAGGGACATACAGCCTCTTTTGATGGTTCCATGTTACCTTGTTACAGTATTGTTAGACCCTACATGGAACAGTGGGAGCGGATGATAATCTGTAGGGTTCACCAGGCTTGACAGCCTTTCAGTGATATCACAAATACCAGCTCCCGGTAGGCAGCAAACTTCTCTAGAGAAATTGTTTGTGCAGCAAATGGGTGCTTCGGTGCCTCTCAGTAAGGAATCTCCAATTACTAATACTTTACATGCTTTTCTGGTGGCACTGGTTCTAATGCAAGTGGGTGGTTGCTTCAACTTTGCATGGCTGGCTTTTCTGGATCATGTTAGTCATTCAATGTGCTCTTCATTCTCCTACTCCAGAGCATCATGTCTGTTATGAAGTGGCACTTCAGAGGATGGGGGAAAGTTCTTCCTTCTGCCTTGAGCAGAGATGAAGGTCCAGCTTCCTTCTTGCAAGTTACTTGTGTCAGTCACCTTGAGTTTGACTTCAGGCGTACCCTCCTCTTGCACAGCCTTCCTTCATTGCACAGATCTTCCTTCATTTTACTGAGTAAGCTGAAAGAATCTGCTAAACATTTTAGGAGGCAGCATTCACTTTCTAGGAAGTATATTTCTTCCAGTTTCTTATTACTCAAGTTTCTTCAAGTATTCGAAATCCCTGTAGCCTACTGCACTTACCCACGTACTTCTCACCAGCCTCATAGATGAGATGATTTGGAGCACTGAATTTCTCCCTTTTACCAACTGGAATTCCTGAAATGCCTGAGAGCTCATTCAGCTGCAGCACCAAACCAAAGAGTCCCAGGCATATACTTTCTTAAACTTGCCTTACTGACTAGAATAAGCAATCACTGCTCAGTCTCCTGTATATTCTTCACGCTCCTTGAACTGACTCTGAAAGATCCCTCCACACCTTGCAGTGGTGTTTCCACAGCTCTCCATCATATCAGAATGATAAGACTAGGCAAGAGAGCACGATGTCAGCTAGCTATGCTTATTTATGAAACAACTTTTTGTAAAGCCTCCAAGACAAACCCATAGATGAGATCAATCAGTCCTTGTACTGCCACATTCTGGAACATCATCAGTGCTGTCCTAGCAAAACTTTTTCAATTCTAGCAAGTACAAGCAAGACAAATGTCAGTAGATTTGTCACATGAGAGATGCAAAAATGACTCAAGAACCATAATCAACTTGAAGTTTAAACCATTGCAGAACAGTTTACAGTGTAAAGGTAGCAGCTATTTTATATTAGCATTTCATTTTCGCTGTTTCCATTTTAATTTGCTTGTATGCTTATATTAATCATATATTACCTTCAGCTGTGGTGAAAGTATTTCCTTTTCTCTCATTGATTCCATAATATCTGGAAACATTCCACAGTACCGCAGATAAGCCATAAAACTAGGATCTAGGTGGTCTGATGTTTGTAGCTCCTGCTTTAGTTTAGCTGCCAAATTTGAGCTGGTATCTGAAGAAAGAGACAGCCCCCCGCACCCACAAGTGTTACAAAGATGAAAAGAACTTGAAACCAGCATACCCGCTTGCAAAATAACCATGATTTCTTCTGCTAGTATGAATGCAGGGTCAGCTGAAGTTAGTTGGTTAAGATCTCAACTAACTTAAACAAGTAAAAAGGCTGTAAGTTGCCTTTAGAACCAGAGAAAGTGTTGTAGTTAAGTCAGGACTTGCTAAAACCTCATGCATCCTTTTCAATATATAAAGATGAAAAGGTAAAAGCAGACTTCCACTACCACAAATATACAAGTCTTTCTAAACAAAGAACCACCTGAGAAAGGCATAGCTTTCAAATAAAAGATCTACAGTAAAAGAAAATGGGAGAAAGAGGAAACATTATAATATTTTTATACTGAAGTTAACAAAAGGTGAAAGGAATCTACAAAGTTAAACTTACTGCTGCCATATCCATCGCTCATCGCATCTATGGCAGATGCTCTTGATCTTATATCATCTTGTAAATCAGAAGGGGTTAAAGTTAGATTATCAGCTTCTCTCATCTGCTTGGAAATAATTTTTCACATTAATTTAGTTTTCTGAATCCAGCTGTAGTTTTCTGCATTGCATTTATAACAACTTTGTTACTAGTATAGATTTTAGCAAATGCCTACTTGATCATAGTGTTAGAGATGGCAAATACCACTATGAATGCAACATTGGTGCTCTCTGGAACCCATTCCATCTCATTTTTTTCTCCCTTTCAATAGTCTTAAGAATCAGACATGTATTTATAGTTAATTGCCCTTCAAGAGCAAGGCACAAAAATATACAACCGAAGATTAATTTTCTGAAGTACAGAGTTTATCTTCCTGTGAAATGAGTTTATCTTCCTGTGAAATAAAATATTTCCATTAAAAAGAAAAAACGCTATTCTCCAATTTTGAAACAGTCATTTCTAACACTCAACGACAGATATTTGTAAGTGGAGAACTGTTATAGTAAATTGAGTACCGTAGTAGCAAAAAAGTCCTACAGGTTTTAGCTCAATTACTTGCACATGAAGTATTATCACAAATTTATCAGTTGCTTCCATGTAGCACAACTGCAAAAGTACCAGGATTTGAAGAGTCCTCTCAACAAATGTTCTGCGAGCACAAGATCAGTATCCATATTTTTACTGACACCACATCAGCAGCGTATAGATATGCAGGACACAAAGCCTGCTGTAAGCAGCTTATTGCTCAGTTTTAGGTTTTGGAAGACTGTTTTAAATTATTAGAAGCAGTCGTAAACTGTGTTTTAATACAGACCAGAATTTGCTCCACTATCTGACAGTGAGAGAGGAACTAACAATCGTATGTCCAGAACGTTACTGGACCTACCCCTCTCGGTGTGTAAGTTTCTACTGCTTGGAGCCAATGGCCCAACAATGGTCCAAGGGGGACAGAGCTGAGCAGTCTTGTTCAGGGGCTGGTGCCGTCAGAGGAATTTTGGCTTTTTTGATCATGGGGAGGTTTACACGGCACCGGGCCTGCTGGCAACAGATGGAGTCCAGCTGTCTCGCAGGGGGAAAAGGGTCATTGTTCATGAATTGGCAGGGCTCATTGAGAGGGCTTTAAACTAGGTTCGAAGGGGGAAGGGGACAAAACCGGGCTCGCTAGAGATGAGCCGAGGGGTGGCATGCTGATGCCGGGGGTGAAATCGATAGCCCAGCTCAAGTACATCTACACCAATGCACGCAGCATGGGCGGCAAGCAGGAGGAGCTGGAAGCCATCGTGCAGCGGGAGAGGTATGACTTAGTCGCCATCACAGAAACGTGGTGGGGTGACTCTCACGATTGGAGTGCTGCAATGGATGGCTATAGACTCTTCAGAAGGGACAGGAGAGGAAGGAGAGGCGGCGGGGTGGCTCTGTATGTTAGGGAGTGTTTCGATTGTCTAGAGCTTAACGATTGTGATGATGATGCGGCTGAGTGTTTATGGGTAAGGATGAGGGGGAAGGCCAACAAGGCAGATATCCTGCTGGGAGTCTGTTATAGACCACCCAACCAGGATGAAGAGGCAGATGAAGCGTTCTACAAGC